AAAATCTTAAAAACTTTCTTCTTTAAAAGCCTGCCTGAATAAAAAGAGTTTAACCTCCTGCCTGGAGGACATTCTGGCTTCCATGAGCAGGGAGTTCCAGAGTCGAAGCGCAGCCACCAAGAAGGCCCTCTCTCTTGTTCCCACCAATTGAGCTTGAGATGGAGGTGGGACCAAGAGAAGGGCCTGTCCTGAAGATCTCAGGGCCCGGGCAGGTACATACAAGGGGATGTAGTTGGCCAAATAGCTTTGTATATTATGACCTTCAATCACCTACCGCCTCCATATTTCGTAAACATTTAAACTGCCTGAGGATGTTTTTACTTACGCATCTAATTTTCCTAAATTTCAAAATACAATTATCAATTGGATCATTTCCTCCATAGTTTTTCAATTAGGAGGAAATCCCACGCTCTGCAAGCTTTTATATTGCAAGACAAATTTCCTGGGCAACTCTAATGCAACATCAAACATTAGGCAGCTTAGATACAGGAAATATTCTGTATATTTTTCCTGGGGAGAGCTTTTCCTTGTCTTATGAAGAAGGCATAGATCAGGGGTCCCCAAACCAAGGCTCGTTGGCCAGATGCAGCCCTCCAAGGTCATTTACCCAGGCCCTGCCCTAAACTTTAGACATAGGGTCGCTCTAAGTCTGAAACTACTTGAAAGCACACAACAATAACAACAACGACAACAACAATCCTAATTAACATGACTATCTCATCAGCCAAAAGCAGACCAACACTTTCTAATGAAATAGTTAAATAGTGTATTTTTCTTTCATATATTTTTGCACTAGAAAAAAGATATGTGCAATGTTGCATAGGAATTTGTTCATGCCAGTATCATGCATTTTTAACAAATGGGAGAAAGAGCATTAGTATCACAATGGAGGACTAGCTATGGGCCCTAATCCATCACGTGAACATTCAAGTAATTTGGTCATAGCAGTCCCTGTTTAAATTTGTCTGATGTTCTGGGTCTTGAGTCAGAGGTCAAAATCTGGTTGAGCATATTGCCATGGGCCATGTGTGCTCAGATCTCAGTTCAGATGCAGGGGAAGGGGATGTTACATTGACATCTAGGCCTCTTCCACACAGCTGTAGAAAATCGCACATTATCTGCTTTGAACCGATTTATAGGGCAGTGTGGACTCAGATAAACCAGTTCAAAGTAGATATTATGGATTATCTACCTTAATTAATATTCAGGGTTACATGGCTGTGTGGAAAGGTCCCCAGATAGATTACGATTTATTGTCGAAGGCTTTTATGGCTGGAATCACTAGGTTCTTGTAGGTTTTTTCGGGCTATAGGGCCATGTTCCAGAGGCATTTCTCCTGACGTTTCGCCTGCATCTATGGCAAGCATCCTCAGAGGTAGTGAGGTCTGTTGGAAATAGGAAAATGGGTTTATATATCTGTGGAATGACTGGGGTGGGGCAAAGAGCTCTCTGCTGAAGCTAGTGTGAATGTTTCAGCTGACCACCTTCATTAGCATTTGAAGGCTTGGCTGAGCCTGGGAAAATGTTCTGTTGGGAGGTGTTAAGATGTGCCTGGTTGTTTCCTCTCTGCTGTTTTGCTGTAGTAATTTTAGAGTTTTTTAATACTGGTAGCCAGATTTTGTTCATTTTCATGGTCTCCTCCTTTCTGTTGAAATTCTCCACATGCTTGTGGATTTCAATGGCTTCTCTGTGTAGTCTGACATGGTGGTTGTTAGAGTGGTCCAGCATTTCTGTGTTCTCAAATAATATGCTGTGTCCAGGTTGGTTCATCAGGTGCTCTGCTATGGCTGACTTCTCTGGTTGAAGTAGTCTGCAGTGCCTTTCATGTTCCTTGATTCGAGTTTGGGCAATGCTGCGTTTGGATGCTTGCCATAGATGCAGGCGAAACGTCAGGAGAAATGCCTCTGGAACATGGCCCTATAGCCCGAAAAAACCTACAAGAACCTAGATTTGGATTTTTCCAAATACTGTAAACCATGTCATTTGTCTTTGTCATCTCTTTTGCTTGTCACAATTCAGGCTCCAACTCCAGTTACAGCAGCTCAAGAAACTGAACATAGGAATTATGAACTGAAAAATATTCTCTCCAGTAAAACCGCTTTGAGTCCCCCTAGGGACTCAAAAGCGGTATAGAAAAGCGGTATAGAAAAGCGGTATAGAAATACTGTAAATAATAATAATACTGCAACAAGATATGAATAACAACATTCATCAAACCAGTCTGGCCCTGCTCAGCACTTCCAGTTTTGACAATGATTTGTGAAAGTTATGTGAACTACTTATTTACCAGAACAACCATATTTAGTATCTGGAATGCAAGATGTAGATAACAAAACATTTCCTTATAATTACACATTGAAGAACAGTTTGTACACTTTCTCTTACTTTACACATGTTCTGTTCTGAACTTGTTCCAGGTAGCTCTTACAATGCCATTTTTTCTGTGAACACCTTTTCCTTTAAATTCTATAAATAGTCTTCTCAACTTTTACTGACATTTTAAAAACAATTTCAGAGTTTACAGTAATACTACTTTTGCCATAAAATCCAGTAAAATCCATTTTTTCTTCTCTGGATTGTAAAGAGTGACTTTCTTTATGGAATTGAAAGGTATTTTCACCATACACATTTGAGCTCAAAAAGTCAAATATCTGGATGCTCAGAAGATAACATATATTGTGAGACGTTATACTTATGGTTTACAGTTTCAGATTATAAAGAATTCATGATGCACACGCAACATTTTCTTATTTATGTCAAACATCACACAACTTCTACTCAGTTTGCTGTTGCTAGATTCAGTGAAATGATTCTGTAAAAAGTCATCATGAAATGAGGGCCTTTGTGAGAGAGGATGTTCTCTGCTGTGGCACTTCATTTGTGGGACACTCCCTAACTGCAAACCCAATTGGTGCTAGCACTGCTACTGTTAGCTGCCAAATAAATGCATTGCTGTTCGTGTAAGAGTTTGAGGCCTGACTGGTTTTATAAAAATCCTCTCATGCTTTCAAAATTGTTTGTAATCCTTTTTAATCTGTCTTTTAGTTTGTTAATACTTTAATGTGTCTTGTTGTCATGTGCCCTCAAGTTGTTTCCAACATATGGTAACCTCAAAACAAACTTATTACAGGCTGTTCTTGGCAAGATTTGTTCAGAAGAGATTTGCCATGGCTTTTCTCTGGGGCTGAGAGTATGTGACTTGCAAGGTCACTCAGTAGGTTTCATGGCTGATCATCATAGTTCAACACTCAAATCATTACACCACAGTTTCACATACATCCTAGAATAATAGAATCCTAGAGTTGGAAAAGGCCACAAGGGTCATCCAGTCCAACTGCATTCTGCCATGCAAGAACACACAATCAAACCACTCCCAAAATACGGCCATCCAGCCTCCGCTTAAAAACTCCACTAGACTCCGAGGTAGTGAGTTCCACTGCTGACCAGCTCCTATCCTCAGGAAGTTCTTCCTAATGTTCAGGTGGACAATCCTTCCAGCAAATTGAATCCATTGCTCCATATCCTAGTCTGTAGAGGAGGTTTTAAAATGTTTTCCACTTGCGACCCCTTTTGGCCCAAGAAATTTTTAAAGAACCCCAGGTATATAGCCATATAAAATAGGTATAGAAATCAAACTATTACTGATAAAAAATTAAAACAATTCTTCAATATACATATAATTTTACCATTTATTAAAGATAGATGAAAGAAAATTGGCATAGTAATGAGATGGGGGCGTGCATAACGAATGAAATCTTGGCTGAACATTGGACACTGCAAGACATAAGACATTTTTCATGCCATACTGGAATGCTTGCTTTTTCAGTCTCAAATGGCAGAATATACTCTGTTGGCTCTCCTTTTTTCTCCTGGATTCATGTAAATGTCCAAAACAGCACTAGATGGAAAGCTACACATAATTTTCATGACCCTGAGATTCAGTTGGGGGGGGGGGGGTCCCAAACGGACCCATGGTTTAAAAAGCTTTGCTAGTCTAAGTGGCAGAAAACAAGCTTGTCCCCTCCTCAATGTGACAACCTTTCAAATATTTAATCATGGCTATCATGTCCCTTCTCAGCCTTCTTTTCTCCAGGCTAAACAGACCCACCTCCCTCAGCCACTCCTCATAGGGCTTGATCCTTTTGTTAGCCCTTCACTGCCTTTTAACCTTTTAAAATTATTTTATCTCTGCTGTTTTAAATATGTTAGATAGATTTTATTGTACGCACAGTGCCCTGAGATCTACAGATAAAGGGTGGTATATGCAAATAAGTAAATTGCTTTGGACGCTATGCAGTATAGCAAATGGTGAGGAATGCTGAAACTTGCAGCTCAATAGCATCTAGAGGGCCACCCAATTCCCATCTCCCTTTACAAGGGCATTTATTGTCTACTTACTCTAGACATGTCTTACCAAGAAAAACCCACAAGAGGGTTGCCTTAGGCTTGTCATAGATCAGAAACAACTTAAAGACATAGAATAACAGCAAAATATGAGAATGTTGAGCATTTTGAACCAATTATATATTTTTGTAAATAGTGTGGTTTGCAGAAGATCACTTGGAAAAAATTGTCTTGTAGACCCTTTGATGCTGCCCCCTAAAACATGATAATAGCACATAAACGAGTCCCTATATTAATTCAACTATATTATTATATTGCCATATTGCCATATTTATTTATTTTATTGCTCTTGTTAATTTTATATGTTTAGTTTTAAATGTGTTATTGGTTTTAACATTGTTATATTCTATTTTATATGTTGTATGGTACCATTGTGTGCTTGTAAGCCACCCTGAGTCCCTATGGGAGATGGTGGCTGGGTATAAATAAAAGATGATGATGTTGATTATTATTATATCTTTGCTATCAGAAAAATTGTTTAATTTCAAATAGAACCAATTATAATATAACACATTTCTTATACAAGAAAATATATGTAGACATTTTAAACACAAACACAACATATAATTTCTAAAAAATGGAACAACAACACTTACGGTTTGAGATGGGTTGTTTTTATGGCAGACTCTTGCAACGTTGAGGCCATCAATCACAATATCAAAAGGGGGACGTTGACTTACAAATCTCTTAAATACTTCAAGTTCCTAACATAAATTAAAAATAGAAAGAGACTGAGAAAAGCAACAAGTGAAACAGATCCGTTTCATCATACTCAGCTTTGTTTATTCTCTCTAGATTTACAATCACTTTGCGCAAGAACAAAAATAGGCACTGGGCACAGAACTTGGCTTTCCCAGTTAGCAAACATTCACTTTCACTTTAAAGTCAACTTTCTAGTTGTAAGGTAGCTTTATAAATTATAGAATAAAGTCTCAGAAAACAAGGTTCAAACATGCCTGTAGTCTGTAAAATCACTTTATGCTACTCAACTGACACGTTCAGTCCTCTGTATCCATATGGGTCTGCATTTATGCATTCAACAAAATATGACTTGAAAATATTCGGAGAAAAATCTAGAATATTGTCATGCATCATGTAATATTCTGATAGGTAGGCAGACTCTCTATTTATTCACCATTTTATATAAGGGATGGCATTTTACTACATCATTGTATATAGTGGAACTTAAGCATCCATGGATTCTGGGAACCAAACCCATGCAGATACCGCTTGCCCATTGAATATATCCCACACATTTGTTTTCATAGTTCCATATTAATGAAATGAAATAAATAGTATGATTTACTTTCCATCAACTGCAGAGCCTCCCTGCTTTGCTATACACTCTGTTTCATTCTTCAACAGAAGTAACAATGGAACGTGTGGCACTTATACATTCTTCCTTTGTGTGTGGCATTCACATTATTGCACATGTAAAAGGGCTAAATCCTTCTGCTCTTTTGAAAACTATTTTGAAATGCAAAGGCAATATTAAATGAGAAACATGTTTAAGTATAAAGGAGGGCAAGCACACATGAGGGAGAATGATTTTGCCATACAGAAACAGAGAAACAGAGTGTGAACCTGTTGTCACTGAAACCAATTGAACCAAAAGGAACCCTAGTAAAATGATTAACATAGGATTCCAAGAAAGGTTAACACAAGAGACCAAGAAAAACTATTTCAGGTGCTTTATCACTCTTTATATTCACAGGTCTTGAACAAATAAAACTCTCTCATTCCTATCAATACTTGATAATCTTCACACTAACATGTGACATTAGTCATCAGAATTAGTCACTATCTCCATGTTACATTTCGAAACTGACATTCTGAACCCAATTCTTAGTTACTTTGTGAAGTACCTGACAGAAATATGCTGGGAACTCCCTATTATTTTGTTGCACAAAATGAATAACAGAGGTTACATCGGGTGTGTTTCCTGAAATGAACCATGTTTATTCACACATATATAACCAAAACCTCCTAATTACCCCTGACATTTTTGTAGCATGAAAGGAAAACAGAACTGACTTCAAAATACTTAGTCTTAGAGCAACCTGCTGTGACCTGTTTTGTAGTACATACTTAGGCACAAATCCTGCATGAACACCACAAATATAGCAACAGGTCTTTCCAGCAGGTATTAGTTATTAGTATTGCAAACCTCTTCATCTGAGATTATCTAGTCAGGGACTCCCTGACATCCCACCCTAAAGTGTCTGTATTTGTTCTAGTTATAGCTCTACAAAGAAATCCTCCCCTTAGGTTCCTTCTTACTTTACAGTCAGAATGTCCCAAGGGACAAAGTACTTAGAATACATTTGGTCCCATATTTTTTGGAAATTGAGTATACATTTGGAATTTTGAGAGTATCATGTGGACATGTTCACAAAATGACTCCTAAGTGTCTGCAGTGTAATTTATTTATTTATTTATTTATTTATTTACTTCATTTGTTGACCGCCGCTCTCAGCCCTGGGGCGACTCGCGGCGGTGTACAACATGTAAAAAACAGTCTACAAAACATACAATATATCAACAATCAAATTACACATTAATCTAATCACACTAATAAATCCGCGCCATCACAACAAGGAATCATAGCCAATCTCATAATCCATAGTCCGTTCCAAATGTCATTACCAGATTCGTGTGGCTCAATTAAATGCCTTCTCGAAATAGCCAGGTCTTTAGGCTCTTACGGAAAGCCATAAGGGAGGGCGCCTGTCTGATGTCAACAGGGAGGGTGTTCCACAGCCGGGGGGCCACCACCGAGAAGGCCCTCTCTCTCGTCCCCGCCAGACGTGCCTGTGAGGCAGGCGGGATCGAGAGAAGGGCCTCCCCAGACAATCTCAAGGCCCTCGTGGGCTCATAGGCCGAGATGCGGTCCGAAAGGTATTTTGGGCCGGAACCGTTTAGGGCTTTGTAGGATAACACCAGCACCTTAAATTGGGCCCGGTAGCAATCGGCAGCCAGTGGAGCTGGGACAACAAGGGCGTTGTGTGCTCCCTGCGTCCCGCTCCCGTTAGCAACATGGCCGCCGCGCGCTGGACTAGTGAAGCTTCCGGGCCGTCTTCAAGGGCAGCCCCACGTAGAGCGCGTTGCAGTAGTCAAGGCGGGATGTGACCAGAGCGTGTACCACCGTGGCCAAGTCAGACTTCCCAAGGTACGGGCGCAGCTGGCGCACGAGCCTAAGCTGTGCAAATGCTCCCCTGGTCACCGCTGAAACCTGGGGATCCAGGCTCAAAGACGAATCCAGGGTCACACCCAAGCTGCGAACCTGCGCCTTCAAGGGGAGTGCGACCCCGTCCAGCACAGGCTGTAACCCTATACCCTGTTCGGCCTTGCGACTGACCAGGAGTACCTCTGTCTTGTCTGGATTTAATTTCAGTTTGTTCGCCCTCATCCAGACCATTACAGCGGCCAGGCACCGGTTCAGGACCTCGACAGCCTCCTTAGTAGCAGGTGGAAAGGAGTGACAGAGTTGGACATCATCTGCGTACAGATGACACCGCACCCCGAAACTCCGGATGATCTCACCCAGCGGCTTCATGTAGATATTAAACAACATGGGGGACAATATAGAACCCTGTGGAACCCCACAGGTCAAAGGCTGTGGTGTTGAACAGCAGTCCCCCAATAACACCTTCTGGGTACGACCCTCCAGAAATGACTGGAGCCACTGCAGAGCAGTGCCCCCAAGACCCATTTCCGCAAGGCGCCCCAGAAGGATACCGTGGTCGACGGTATCGAAGGCCGCTGAGAGGTCCAGGAGCACCAACAGGGACACACTCCCCCTGTCTAGCTCCCGGCGCAGATCATCCACTAAGGCGACCAAGACCGTCTCGGTACCATGTCCCGGTCTGAAACCAGACTGTGCCGGATCCAGATAATCCGTGTCTCTCAAGAATACCTGGAGTTGTGAGGCCACCACGCTTTCCATGACTTTGCCCAAGAAGGGGAGATTGGAAACAGGCCGAAAGTTGTCAAATTTAGTGGGGTCCAGTGATGGTTTCTTCAACAGCGGTTTTATAATAGCTTGTTTTAAGCTCGCTGGAATCTTGCCTTCCCGAAGGGAGGCATTAACCACCACCGTTACCCACTCAGCCAATCCCCCTCTGGCCTCTTTCAGAAGCCAGGATGGGCAGGGGTCTAGGATGGACGTGGTAGGCCGCATTCCTCCAAGTATCTTGTCCACATCCTCGGGTTTCACAAACTGAAAAGAATCCAACAAAATAGGACAAGCAGGTGCTCGTGTCACATCCACAGAGACTGCATTTAACATGGTGTCCAGCTCAGAACGGATCAAAGCGACTTTGTCTGCAAAGAACCGAGCAAATGCTTCACAGCGCGTGACCGAATTGTCAGGGCTCCCGCCTGAAGTGGCGGGAGTTAAAAGACCTCTGACAATCCGAAACACCTCCGCCGGACGGTTCTTTGCAGACGCAATAGAAGCTGCAAAGAAGGTTTTCTTTGCGGCTTTTATTGCCGCGGCGTATGCCCTTAAAAAGGACACAAACCGTGTTCGATTTGACTCGCTTGGGTCTGAACGCCACACGCTCTCCAGTTCCCTCTTCCTTCGCTTCATCACTGCCAGCTCCTCAGTAAACCAAGGGGCTGGTTTAGCTCGGCTACTTGAGAGGGGACGTTCTGGAGCGATCGTGTCAATTGCCCTGGTCATCTCCCCATTCCAGAGAGCGACCAAGGCCTCGACATGGTCACCTACCGAGGTGGCGGGAAAATCCCCAAGAGCCGTCAGGAATCCATTCGGATCCATAAGCCTCCTGTGGCGGACCATCTTAATGGGTCCTCCACCCTTGCAGAGGTTAGGGGGTGCAGTGAGCCTAAGCATTGAGACAAAACCATTTTACTGCTGTCTCGTGTGTATGTGTCTTCAAGTCACCATAAGTCAACAGTTGACTTGAGGACACATACACATACAACAGTAAAATGTCCAACTGACACAATGAAACTTGGTGTTTTTACTTTCCCATCCACCTAGACACAGCTTCTCTCCTCTAACACAAAAAGCCAATCACTGATCCAAATTGTCATACAGTGTCTCCTCACAGTCACCTATGGATGGTCCCTCTAATTTCCAGAGCTACATTCTCTTTCTCTCCTTGTCCACTGAATGTGTTCCCACTCTTTCTCCTCTCCTTTACTATCCATTCATGTAATACTTCCCCAAACCATAGTGCTTTTTGTTTTTCCTCTGTTCTCTCTGTTCTCTCCTCCTCCCTCTTTTTTTCCGGTCTTTCGGGTACTAATTTGAAATTTCACTCCACTCAAGTCTCCTTCTTCTACCTTCCCTCTTACTAGGCAACATGGCCTTCTTTCTTTCTCACCCAACTTTTTGAAGACACTTGATTAGGGAAGACTACCTTCTTTGATGGCAGTGCAGGTTATAGATAGATTGAGACGACCTAAAATAAAGTAACCATTTTAAAAAAAATCTTCAAGGTATATCTAAATGCCATGATCTTGGAGCTATGATAAAGACAAGGAAACAAAGAGACAATCCTCTCTATAATAACAAATAATGTTTCTTCAGTCCCATGAAGCTATTCCCTGAAAAAATAGGTGGCTACGGAGCCTGCTGCCTCAACTTAAATTATATCAACCTTCCAATGATTAGGGACTAGAGAGGGAATCTGGCAACAACAAAAGAGATGTGCAACAGACTTATTGTATTCAGGAT